TGCAAATGTATATGAATAATCAACACCATAAATTTAAGTATAGCCCTTAACAACTAGCCTAGTTTTATATTTGTTTATGGTGCTATCTACATTTAATTTGATCTTGAATATCCACTACACACTAATAATGTTTTTGTCTGGTGGTTTGTCAACTAGTTTCCATGTGTAGTTTTTTTCAATTATTTTTACCTTTTTCTGCATTATTTTTTGCTATTCTAGGTTCTACTGAGCTTCTTCAAAGCCTTCTAATTCACAAACTGTTACATTACTCTTTTGGTAAATGTCTTCTAGAAATTTGGTGTTTTTAATTAGTGAATCATTAATTGATTTATCATGTAATAAAGGTTTGATTTGATTTTTAAATATCTTATTTTTTTATGAGTCTCCCATATCCCATTATTTTTCTTCATAAAAATAAACATTCTAATAATTGCTATCTTTTAAGTCTGAGGATTATATACTTTATAGGTTTTATTGCCAACAAAACATATACTATCAAAGATTTAAAAAAAGCTTAGCGGAGGTTTGTTTTTAAACAAAACTTCAAAAAGTATCTTTTCTTTCACAAAGCATATAATTTTATTGGAAGTTGGTTTTAAAAATAAACAGTTGTGTTACTTGCTTATAGAGACTAGGAGCACTCTTTATTATTGCAGAAAATAACAAAACAGAAATAACAAAGCTTTGTCAGCAGCCTTGAAGCAAAGTTCAGCAGAATGAGGATACATGGTTCTGGCTTGGCTGGCTGCATTCATAATGTTACTTAATGTCTGCGCCACGAGTGAATATCTTCTGTCTCTCTTTTGAGCATTCAATGATTAGCCTTCCGCAGCTTGGTGTTTGTCTGCAGTATGGGTTTGGTGTATACGATAATTTTTCCCAAAGCAAAAGGGTTTATATGATATTTCTCGATCTCTTATTCTTCTTCCACCCCAAATTAAGTTTTTTTCTAGCCATTGTTTTTCCTCCACGAGCTTATTAATTGGTTTAATTTTCTTTTCTACAGAAGATACATTCTTTTCATGTCAAAAATGGGTTTTGAGCAACTTGAAGCTGCACAAAATAAGCGACAGAATGCATGGCAGCAGCTCCAGACAACCAAAGACAAGCCTAACTAAGAAGGTAAATACTTGCAAATTGGAGGAGCACAAGTTTGTATATATTTGATACTTGGGAAGCCCTAATGAGCTTTGGGCACCATAAATGGCAGCCTTTCTCTGTTCCCTTAAACCCTCATTAATTTCCCTCAAATTTCTTATCATTGCGGTGCTACTTCGGGACTCAACATCAAATAAGTAAAATTAAAATTCGCATTATGATCTGTAATTATAAGATGTCCATTTCCTTTTTTAATTCTTCCAGGTTGGTTTCTTCTCAGGGCGTAAGAAAGAGAGCCTTTTTAAATCTCCTGATGATCCCAAGGGCAAGGTTGGTGTGGCTGGAAGTGGGAAGGGCTTGACAGAGTTCCAGAAGAGGGAGAAGCATTTGCATCTCAAGGGTGGAAGCGTTGAGACTGGTGATTAGATTCGATTAGATTAGATTAGAGTTGCATTGTTTTCTTCCTTCCTCATAACCTTACTCTATAGGCTTTTGCACCAACTGATCCAGCAGCAAAGATACTGAACTTCTGGTTAAGCAATGTAGTCTCAACGACGCCCAAGTGCATGGTGAGCTTGTGAGTATCTGAACTTTTAGGACTTGCTAATTTCTCGAAAACTTAATCTATGCTTTTTTCTTTGTTTCTTATTTTTCCAAGTATCTTTCGTTCTTTAAATATTTTCCAATAGGCTCCAGAAATAAAATGAGTAACATATGCTCTTTGTTCATAGTGGATTAGGCTGATAATATAAAGGAAATCCCCACAGATTCAGCAAATAATCCCTTGCCTCCTGCAGAGGATTATGCAACCATCATTCAAGCCTAATATCAAGCTTGTAACGGCAAATAAATCTTCAATGTAAATACAGTGTAAATGCTAGACGCAATCTTAGCTTTGTTTCTAAATTCAAGTCTGCAGTCCTATATATATATATGTTAATAGTTGTATGATTCATAAAAACAAAAAGATTTACTATTCTGAAGTTTATCAATTAGCTCAATTTTCTAAAAACTTCATATCTTCATCATGGTATCAGAGCAAGAAATCTCCAACGAGAATTCGATCCCTCACAATCATAATCCAATCTCAACTCCACCCTCTCCAACTGAAACACCCCTGATTGCTCTCAACATCACATCTCAAATAAATGATAAACTTACCCCCTCTACATTTCTTCAATGGCACACTCAATTTGAAGCCCTACTCATCGGATATGATCTTCTTGACTATGTCGCTGGAGAAAAAACATGTCTCATACCCACCAACACATCAATATGTGTTGTCCAACGAACTCACTGGATAAGGCAAGATAAGCTTATCCTCAGTGCCATTTTGGCATCTACATCTACTGTCATCACTCCTCTCATCTCAATGGCCAAGACATCAAAGGATGCATGGCACAAATTACATACTCTATGTTGTAACCCAATTTTGGATTCACTAAAATTTTCTCGAATGTTATTTTATTTTATTATTCATAACAAAAAAAATAAATAAAAAAAGTTTAAAATATATTTTCTCGAGTCAACCGCATCTTTCGATCAAAACCGA